AAGAACAAATAATCTGAAATAAATTATAAATGATATTATGAAGATTCGATTTGTATACTAGAATATTAGGTATAAATAAATAAAACGAATTTATAAATTAAGTAGAATCCGTGTTTGAGGTAAAAAAATATAAATTATAAACGTTATTATTGTTTTTAACAGAATAACTGAAAAGATAAACTTCAAACGTTGAACAACCTGTGATATTGATTTAAAAAAATGTTGCGTTTAATTTTAACTCAAGTATGTATATCTTAAAATGCGTTATAAAATGTAGGTTAAAGAATAAATCTCCAAGCTATTTAATAGTACAATTTTAGGTAATAAATACATGGTTAATGTAGATCATCAAAAGTTGTTGTTTCATGTAACCTCTTATAATCTTGTAATTTGTAAAACAAATGTACACTTCAGTTTTTCATTTTAGAGTCTTCAGTACGTGCATAAACGCACCTAAACTGACGTATGATTTCTTTCATAAATCCACGGAGACCAGTACACACTTGCAAAAAAAAAAAAATAGTTTTAACAAGATTTTATCTGCATTAATAAAACATAAGAGAAGAACAACGTATCTTGAATAAGTATCTACGTTAACTTGGCTTTGTGTGTAAACTTTGTTTTTATTGGTTGAATATTAAACAGGTTGCAATATTTTAAAATTACTGTGAACAACATTGGTTGTTTAAATTAATTGATATTCATAAACATATATATATATATTAAACTGACACGAATAAAACATTCTGCGAATCGAATCTCAGGCTATTTCGTCTTATTTAATCCTGTACAAGTTATGTATTTACGTAATTTATACGTTTTGTTTTCTTGTATTTATTGTGAGTATGACTAATGTTAAAACTTGTTGAAAAACAAAGTATTGTTTCTGTCATGAATAAGGTTTTCAATGAAAGATTTACAATTGTTTAATTATTTTACTGTTGAATTGTAAATGAACTGGTTCATTCAGAAGGCAGTTGGACAAAGGAGATGGTCACTGTATTCAAGAATCGGTTCTTTGGCGTCCGAGGTTGTTAAAAGTATCGCATTTTCATTTGGAATTGTCTGCTTGTGTTTTTGTGTGCTAAGACGGACCCCAGCTCCCTGTATTCACGACTGCATTACATTATATAATATCTGTACGAGTGTAATAAATACTTGATTCATAATTTGTTTTCTCGCATTCTGTCTTCACAACTGTATCTATTTCTAAGTGCAAAAACCAGACTGTGGTTCGGGTAATTATGAAACAGACAGGTCGCAACACTACTGATCATAGTAGCATAAATTTATAAAAACTAGAAGAAAAAAAGGCCTAAAGTTATTGATAATCAATTCTTAATGGGAAAAGTATCGGTAATATTTTGAGTTACTTAACAGTCGAAATTTCGTCATTTTAAATGTTCTGTAGCATGGTATGCGAATACCCACTAACACATAGTCGTAAGAAAAAGAACAATAGATGTCCTATTTTTTTTATGGGAAAAGTTTAAAATATTCAACAGCAATCGTAAATTATATTTTGATTAAACAAATAGCCTATGGTTTCCTATAAACTTGTTACATTCTCCGCAGAATTACTATTTTAATGTGTGATTTAACTTTTAACGTGGCTTCAAAAGCTTTATAGTAACACGTGTATTATCTGGAACATTCTATAAACTTATATGTGCATAATAACCATTTTACGTGTTACTTTGTCGTACTGTAAATTCAAAAGGACGTCTATATTTTTTTATCTTGGGTTTTAGTAATTTTATCTCCTTTCTTATACGTTGCTTGACTATTTAACAGTATGTGAGATGATACTCAAATCTAATGATTAAATATTTCTTCATTTTTTCAAGAAGGGAAAAATGTTATACTTGTTGTGCATTTTGCTAGTAGTTTTGTAGCTTCATTTCAAAAGTAACTAACAACTCGGCGCTAGCGAAATGTTTATTTCTGTACTGCCCAGAGAAAAACATTATAATATTTCAATTTTTTTAGTCCTCACCAGTCTGAATAAGAAAAAAACTTGATTTTCATTAAATTTGTTATTTTTCCCGCTTTTTAAAAAATAATGTTATTTCTCCGTCTTCATTCGCGCTAATTTGATAAATGGAACAAGTGAAACTGAAGTTTGGGTATTGAGAATGTTTTTGATATACATAGGGAAAGTGAACACACATTGTTACAGGTTGAACAGTTGTGTAAAATTTGAGAAAATTTGAAATTCATATGCCAACAAACGATTGACAGATAGGTGGATCACATTCCCTTATTTTTCCAAATCGCCAACCGTGCATCAGAAACCAGTGTTTGACGTGTAAATATCAAACTGTTTCTCGAACTGAATATTTTAAAATATACTCCTGATTTTTCCACTAAATGTCGGTAATTTTGAGTGCTGGGAAGTTTATATTTGTAAATATCATTAGTCCACCGTGGGTCATTGGTAAGTCCGAGGTTTGATTATCCACAGTGGACAGGGTGCAGATGGGCTCTTGAGAATTCCCTGCCCCAGTGGATCGGCGATAATTCTTCGGGCTCGTAACACTAAAAGTTGAATTTCGATACCCGTGGTCGGCATAGTAAAGATAGTTCATTGCGTTGCTTTGTGCTTTAAAACATCAAATAAGTTATTTGTGGATCTGATACTTGTAGGAAAACTGAAAAGTAGTTTGTGGTTCGCATCCGATTGCCACAAAATCGCGCTTCACACTTTTGGCCCGTAAATGCGTTATAACGGTGACGGACAAATCTTGTGTTGAAATTGAGTAGCCTCTAGTCTATCAGCTCAAAATTGGAGATGTCTGGCCCTTTTGTAGCTTTTTGCGAATATCCGAAACAAACAAACAAGATACACCAAACTGTTTTTAAAATATAGACTCGATATGCATGTGTGTGTGTGTGTTTAAAAATCATTCATGTGGACTCTATCGGCTTTTTAAACAAACTTTTTTAAATTGTTCTTGAACCAAATTATTAGTAGTTCTATAATCTACAACTTCGTTGTTCTCTGGTAAATTACGTGGTACGCACTCGGCATGTAAACAAAAATATCAATTAATCCCACTAATAACTGCTAGAGTTCCATGTCTACTTTATTAAGAAAAAGTGATTTCACTCAACATAATTTGGTCAGTTCTTTACACTGATTGGTATAGCAGGTAAAAACATGAAGTTATTGAATAATGCAATATGTGGACCACAGCGAATGGTATATGAAAAACAAGTAGGAATCCGCAATAGCCGCGGTACTTAATTCTTTTCAGCAGGATTGGAGTAAATTAATCTACGAGATAATTTTCCCTTGTTTATAAGCTATATTTTTGTGCGCCAGCAATACCAAGTGTGGAGCACACATATACCCGATTTAGTTTTGTTACTCATCAGGATCTCTATCAGCCTATCTTCAAATTGAAATTTTTGTAGGCAAAATTAGTAAATTAATCTATGAGATTTTGGGCAGGGTCAAATGAATCAATCGAAAGGTTTTGGTCTCCTGGGTCCAAAACTGTAATTAGATCTCAGATCGGTCAAGATGTAACCGAGTTTTGAGCTAAACGTTTGTACTTGAAAAAAAACAAAAAACTCTGAGCCATTCTATGAGCCGCTATGTCTCAACCAAAAAAAGTGAGTGTAAGTCAACAAGGCTTGGCTGGTTTTCCAAAATTTCAAAATATGCTTATATAGTTTTGACTGAAATATTTAATTTGCAGTTAAATATAATTTAATGGATTATGTAACTTAGCTAATTCAAAGCTAGCCTGTACTTCATTCTCAGAGGCGTCGCTATGTTCTGACACACAGTTATCGTGCCCAAATTCTATTTGACAGTGCCCTGAGCCCCCAGTTAGTGCCTTAAAATATATAATATTTTAAGAACTTAGCGACGTCTCTGTTGAAGATGTCTGAATAATAATTATTTGACAAAATTTATTAGAACATAAGTAGTATTTTACTTCGTGTATTGCACGTTCAATATAGTGCTTAATATTACCATTAGCCTTTCCGACCAACTGACAGGTACGACAAACTTTCCAAAATTAATAAATGTCTTGCTTAATTTTGGTCAAAAGAAGTATCTCATAATTTTGTCACCTGTCTTGTTGACACCTAAATGATCTCCCATGAGGGGTTCATGGGCAACTTTCAATATTTCAGAAGGATATGCCTTGGAACAACGATTTGATGAACAATAGCCAAATCCTCTGAAGCTGGCACATCCGGTGGTCTCCATTTTCCCATAAGCACACCATTTTTGAAAAAAAAAAATAACCATTTGGAACTTTCTCCAGTTCATCTTTTGAGAGTGTGTGTTTAAATAGTGAAGTGATCTGCAAATCTTTTTCTTCTTCAGTGATCAGTTTACTTTTAGTAAATTGAACTTCACTAGGTGAATCAGATCCTTCATGTCCGTCGTTGTCCCTCACCGAGGTATTGTCAGTAGGACGATCATTCACAAGATCCCTATCGGATCCAATAAATGTCTGAGACAAATCTATAATATGATCCTCTGAATCTACGCTTATTATTTGTTTTTGGTTTAATTTCGTGGCCGAGCTCGGGTCACAGAACACGAGGGAAACACGTCGGGATTCTCCTCAATTACAACATCATCTTTAGATGAAACAGTGATCGGCTCATTAACCATTTTAGGTTCGGCAAGAAAAATTGTCTGGGACAAATCTATAATATCCTCTGGTTCTATGTCTATCCTTTGTTTTTGGCTTAATTTCGTAGTCTGAGCTCGAGTCACAGAACACAAGGAAAACACATCGGGATTCTTCTCAACTACAACATCATCCTAAGATGAAACAGTGATCGGCTCGTTAACCATCTTAGGTTCGGCAATAACTTTCCGCCAGCCATATCGTTTCCCACTAACAATGATACACCATTAATTGGCAGAGTAGGTCTTACCCCAAACACAACTGGTCTCGAAACTAGATCCGATGCTAAATAAATATTATGAAAAATAATAGTAACAAAACTACCCTCAATACCCCGAGCAATAACAGACTCACCAGTGGCAGAACTCGAATCTAAAAGCAATACACCTTCTAACAACAATGATTGAGTCGCCCCAGTATCACGTAGAATACGTATAGGTATGGGATTGCTAGTGTCATTTGTCACAGACACAAAGGGTCTAAGTTCCTCCCTAATCACGCCAGCCTTTATATCAGTGGCCAAATCAACAATATTGGGTGATCTGGTGAAACTACGTCCATATGTGGACACAAACGCACTGGGTGTTGCCTTCTTTTCCTTCTTCTTTTTCAAACCCCAACAATAGGACATAACATGACCAGGTTTTTTTACAGAAATGGCAGACAGGCCTTGATTGTTTTAAAGAAGTTTTTATCCTTACTGTCAAATGATTTCGAACTAGAGGAGCTGGAGTTTTTTGGAAGAATCCTCAACGTTAGTGGATTGAACAGATACAGGTTTTTTTGAGATGGTAGGAATTTCTTTTTATGAAAAGTGGTTTGTTTGTTTGTTTTTTTAATTTCGCGCAAAGCTACACTAGGGCTATCTGCGCTAGCCGTCCCTAATTTAGCAGTGTAAGACTAGAGGGAAGGCAGCTAGTCATCACCACCCACCGCCAACTCTTGGGCTACTCTTTTACCAACGAATAGTGGGATTGACCGTCACATTATAACGCCCCCACGGTTGAAAAGACGAGCATGTTTGGTGGGACGGGGATTCGAACCCGCGACCCTCAGATTGCGAATCGAGTGCCTTAACCACCTGGCCATGCCGGGCCTGAAAAGTGGTTTTATGTGTTAAAGTGTAGTCATTGGAAAGAGTGGCTGCTTTCAGCTTTCTTTTCATCCAAGTAAGTTTTGAGGACGTCACGTGCACAACGTTTAAATTCCTCGATTAGACATATTTGTCTTAGTTTGTCGAAACTGTTGCTATATGCATAGAATTGCACCATCAATCAAAATAAACCTCTTTTTCGGGGGCAAATTCCATATAAGTTTGATTGTCTTGTTTGCGATAACCTCTAAACTTTTGGCGATAAGCTTCTGGTACCAACTCGTATGCTTTGAGAATAGCTGCTTTAACCTTCGTGCCCGGCATGGCCAGGTGGATAAGGCGCTCGACTCGCAATCTGAGGGTTGCGGGTTCAAATCCCCGACCCACCTCGCCCTTTCAGCCGTGTGGTCGTTATAATGTTACGGTAAATTCAAAACAAACCATTTAACCAAAATATAAAAGTAAGACCTAAATACAGTTTAACTGTCTCCCTAACTTTAGCATATTGAGGTAAGAGACCACCGTACGTGCTATAGAATATATATATATATATATACACACACACACACACTTATACGTAAACGAGCCTAGGCCTATTAGAAAAACTAGGGGGTGGGAAGTGTGATTACAAGAGGTGGTAGTAGTATATAATGCAGTCGCCGAGGGACAGTTTCAAAGAAATAATATTCTCGAGCGCAACTTTGCATCAATGGCTAAACACCCCCTCCTCTTTTATTGCTTTTTCAACATAGGGCCCCTAGTGGTACGGCAGTAATTCTGAAGACTTATAATGTTAAAAATTGGGTTTCGATACCTGTGGTGATTATATTACAGCATAGAACATTAGATAGCTCATTGTTTTGCATTATGCTTAACAATAACCAAACGAATTCGACATAGGCATTTTTACATAATGTATAAATCAAATTATAAAAAAAATTAGAGGAGAGGGGTGGGTATGGTGGATTTTAATCCTAGGTATTCTACTAGTAAATATTACCACTCGGTTTGTCACGCTATCAGGTAAGTATTTCAAAATTAATTTTTTTGTATTAGTATTATATATTCTAACAGTAAGTTTTTAATTAAAGTAAATGCATAGTATTATAAGATTATACTAGGTGTTAGGTTTGAAAACAAAGTATTTGAAGGTAAAGTAATATTTAGTATCATCAAATAATTTAGTTAGGTAAATTACAACTTCATTAGTTTAGGCTTAATAAATAACATTATAAGTTAAAAAGTTCAATTATCGTATCAGTATCATTCATCAAGCTTTGCACGGTTTTTATTCTATGAGTTATTATCAACAATCACATTTAAGTCCTTTTACATTTCCACTAATGTTTCTCATTTCCAAGAAGTACAGTAATTTGCTTTTGTTTTTCATACACCACGTACTCCATTTCTGAATATTAAAACTCATTTTTAGTGTTCTTTCTCTGTTAATAAGGCTGTCAAGATCGTTTTCATTGAGAAATATTCTTATTAGAATAAACTCTCCCCAGCATTTTAGAATCATCAGCAATGTAGATATATCTACTAAAGTATCCAAATCATTTCATAACAAACATTAATTGATAGAATGATAATTTTTTACCTATTTCTTTTTGCTTTCTAGTGCAGTTCGGGTCTCTCACCACTTCTTAGCTTTTCCAGTAATTTATAAGCATCTACTGTACTGATAATCAAGCTGCATTATATCAACTATGATAATCTAATTCAAAAGCATTGAAGAATTAGTGGAAAAAGAAACCTCATTCTCGAAGCAAGTTGAGTTTTATTTATTGACTGCTAGCTTTCAGGATATCTTTCTGTTTTTACAGTGGCTAGATACCTGACAGTTGGGATTCGTCTTTAAAATCCTAAATACCCTGAAGTCCAATCAAGCTGATGAGCTACAAAAACAATAATAATAATAATAAGTGATAGTGATAATTTCAAAAAAATTATATTATCACAAATTATATATATAATATAAATTATCATGTTGGAAGCTTATCAGTATTTATGAGCGTGAATTATGGACAGTTGGGTATGTAGTATTTTGAAATTTGTTCCTGGTAGCTTGTAGCAAACACATATGCTGATCGACACTAAAGATGAAAGATGATTGATATTTATTTTTCCAATGCAAAATATTTATTCAGATCATTTCATCGAGCTCAAAGACAGATCATTCTCATAATTTACTAGTATTCATTCTCTAAGTCAAGTGAGAAGTGATTGTAGCTCGTCAGTATTCAGATTTTTGGACTGCCAGGTACTTATTATTTGAAAGATCATTCCTGGTTGCCAGGTGTCTAGCAATTGTATTCTATTTTAGTTCCAGGTTTGAAGATTCAGACAAGTGAAACATGCCAGATTCTACTTCAGTTTCCAAACCATTTGAACGACTGCCTACAAGTGTACTTCCAGTTCACTACAATATCAATTTCAGACCTGATTTGCAGAAACTTGTGTTTGAAGGTCATGAAACCATTAAAGTTGAGGTAAAAAAAAGTATTGTTTTGAATTTTATTCACTTTTTACCTGTAACTACAGCAATTAAAAGAAGAAGTCTGTGTTGCTGTTGGATATTTTCCAACCTATCACTCTGAATATTCCTTTGAATCTAATTGATTGAAACATTTGCAACTGCTGTTCTAGGTTGTATGGTATGACCTCTTACAGCAAATAATGGATAGAATACAAAGACATATAGTTTTATAATATTTGTTACATGACTTTGAGATGGTTCAGTGGAATACTTTATGAATTAATGCAGGAAAAAGTGAGAATGTGATATTTTAGTATTTGTCATAATGATGAAATATTCTGTTAATAAGGACAGTTTTAATACAATTATCAGATAATTTTATATTTGAATAGTAAATTAGTGGAAGCATCAGACTTTGGCAGTGATGTCTAGTGTAACATTTTAAATATTTTAACAATATTTGATTGTATTCTTTTAAGTAATGAATTAAAGAAAGAAACTGAATTTTGTTAATGTGGACTTGTTTGTAGGTGAGCATACGGTATTTCAAAAAGACAAGGTAAAAATGGTGTTTATGCTAATAGAGTACAGGGATTGAAATATAAAATTTCAGTTGTTAAAAAGGAGATTATACATAAAGATGTTTGTTTCTCAATGCCAAAGTAATTAATAACTAAATTTAAAGTACTAGTAAGAGAGTTTTTGTTTAAATATAAAACATAGAAAATTTATTTATGGTAATAAAGTGAATTATTGTTTTTTTTTCAAAGTTAAATGTAATTAAAGTACTTAGAGAATAATGTTCAATTAATTGTAACGAGTATGTGTGAGCTGGTATCATGTATAAATCAGCTTAAAGACAACAAAAATACAGTGTTAGGTGTTTAAAATATAAGCTTAATAATAATTAACAAAAATGAAAGAATAGCATCTTACAAAACTACTTAGTTATAAAATGTATTTCCATTTTAATACATTTTTTATTTTTAACAACCATGTGAAGGTAAAGAATGAGACATCTGTGGTGGTTTTAAATGTTTTGGAGCTCCAAGTGAAGCTGGCTCGCTTCACTAGAGAAGATAAATTAGGTGAGTGCTTGCTAATTGTTTGGTTGGTCATATGAGCTCTGATTGTATTTTTGGTGCTTTGTTCCTCAGATTCATTGTTTTGATTCCTATTACATAAAAATGTTTAGATTTTTTTTTCAGTGCATGTTGTTTTATAAATATTTAAGTGTTTGAATTTAGGTTGTATTTATTTGTTGTGCAAGATGAAAAAAAATAAATGTAATAAAACCAAAACAGACATTTTCTTGACATAAAAAAAGAAATTAATTTAGTCAGAGTAAAGTTTTTCAGATTTAGTTTTAATCTGATTGGAACCAAATTTGAGAATGTCTCTTAGTAAAAGTTCAAAACCCCTTATTATAAACATATTATCTTAAACTATTTATTAAATTTGTACTAGTATCATAATATCCAAATTCAGCTTGAGGTAATTTTTGGTGATTTTGGTTAAAAGTAGTTCCATTTTTATGATTAGTGTATGAAGAAATAAGTGTCTTACTATTTATTTTACAGTTGTTTAGGAAGGTTGTGTCTTGCTTACTAATATGGCAGAAATCCTAATCACAAGTTGTTGAAAATTTTTATTTTCCAGAGACTAAAAGTAAATTAGATTGAAGTGAAACTGTATTATAGCATTTAAATCAGGAAGATGGAGATCTATAAATTTTGCTGTAATGAATAGTCCAACTTGATATTTGATAATCCTTTGAGAAATGTTTTATATCACTTACTTTTGGAAAATCAGATCAAGTATTAGAAGTTTCAATTATATTCAGTGTTTTTCATTATTTTTTTGAGTATTAGCATTGCTTTCTTGCTGCAAGAAAACATGTGCATGTTAAATACTTGTTGAGCTTTCTTAATTGCATGCTTAGGGGATTTATTATTATTTTTTTGCTGATGTGCTGGTCTCTTGAAGAAAAGCTGTATATATATTTTTGTTCAGTTCAAATAACACTTTTATTGAAAAAAAAATGCTGTCCATCATACAATATGCTTACGTCATTATCAGGACTTTGTGTTCTAGCCTTCTTCAGTGATATTGGTTAAATGCTATATTGTATAAGCTCAGTATTAGTGAGTTTGAATATGAATTTATTGTATTGAATTATTTGTGGTGATTTTCCATCACATTCTACTGTGCTGGATAAAAGTTCACTGACACCATCCTGGAGTTCAACACAAGAAGGATGAAGAAGCTGAAAATATTGGTAATTTTTATTGTTTATTAGTAACAACAAACCAACTTTCACTTTTAATTCCTAAAAATACCTACTATTTCTTTTCCACCAAGAACAAAATGCTACAAATATTAAAGTATCTCAAGATGATGAAAGAGTGATACTGACCTTTGATCAGCCTTTGACTGTTGGTAAGGGTGAATTGTATTTGGAGTTTTCTGGAGTTCTTAATGAGAAGATGAAGGGGTTTTATCGCAGCAAATACACAACCCCTGAAGGTGAAATACGTCATGCAGCATTGACCCAGTTTGCGGTATGAAGGTTTTTAAAAAATCTTATATAAGCTGGTAAGATAAGAACAAAGGCTGATGTCAGTTTTAAAAGTATAAATTATGATTTGTTAATATCTTTGAAAAATCAACATTATGTTATTTAACTTTTCTTTCTTACTATTTACTCTCCCGTATTGTACTTTCCATGCTTGTCCAGTTGGATGTAAGGGACATCACAAGGAAATTGTTTAATCAAACTAATATCAAAATTGGGATGTGGACTGTCCTCATTTCACATTAAGGTCAACCACTTTAGAATAATAATTTGTGATTTTCTTGGTGTAGGGAGGGAAAAAAGTATACAAAGTATACAAAAGTATATATCGTGTATATCCAAGATAAATAAAAAATTGGGAATTTAAAAACCTGCAAATAGAGATAATGAAAAAGTAAGGAAACAAGGTTGGAGATACTGTAGACATTGTTTACTCAAACTACAAGCCCCTATTTTGGCTCCATGCTGTTACCTAGAATTACATTTGGTGGTTGTTTTTCATTTTAATATGTATACAGCCTTAGCAGTCAATAGTAAAGGTTTTAAAGTGTTGTTTGAACTGAATCTTTACTATTTAAGGTGCTTTTTGCCCAAATGTTTTACTACGGTTTTGTCCAATTTCTTGTACAATATCATGGTTCATGATATTTCTGTATATCTTGAATCCTTAGTTATACCAAATAAAAATTGTGGTTAAATCACACCCCTAGACAAAGAACCATAGAATGGAAAACAGTTTACTTTTCAGTGAAAGAATATACTTATAGATAATTTAAAATCCCAAATTGTTCTTGAAGCTTAATAAATAAAATAATTAGAACATTGTAATTAAGCATTACTATTTGTGATAACTTTTTGTTTATCAGGAACACAATTTAGAAAGTCAAGCATTTCCGAATAACTTAGATTTAGATATGTGTAATGAAGGTAAAATATGTTGAGTTTCAGTGTATGTATTGTATTTAGTTTCAGTGTATGTATTGTATTTAGTTTTAGTGTATGTATTGTCAGAGCATGGCTGACAAAAATATTTTGCTTAGCTACTCTTTTGGGCTATTTGTGGATGATAATATATCATTAGTTATCTTTTAGTATTTCAACTGATGAAGACATTTTGAAGGAAGAGACTTTCATATACTTACAGTTTATTTAGTTAACATTTTAATTACAAAATCTGTCATATAATTGTATTTCTTTGCAGGTATTAAAGTCATAGGTAATAATATTTCCTTTTTAATACTTGGAATTATCATGAATATCATTAATATGAAATGAAAATGTTCATATAACTTAGTTATATAATTCAAAAACTACATTTTCAACAGAAATAACCTGATGATAAGTTACAATCGTTAATACTTTGTAAGTGCTGAGTACCAAACAGTATTTTAAACACTGGCATATAAATTGTATTCTTGTATTCCGTACAACTTAGCCAACTGATGCTAGACGTGCGTTTCCGTGCTGGGATGAACCTGCTTTGAAAGCAACCTTTGATATTTCACTCATAGCTGCGAAAGATCTCGTTACTCTTTCAAACATGGTATGTTTTTTAAGGAAAATGTCTTGTAAATAACAATCGTAGTAGTGTTTTACCAAATGTTTTTTTTTTACCAAGGTTTTATATTATAAATTCATGCAGTCATGGCTCCCAGTACAGAAATAAAGAAATACAGAAAATTTTGTAGAGATCAAATGTTTTGGCTATTTAAGATTACTCCGTGTGATAGATTAAGGTGAAATGTCGTGTTTGTATAGGATCTATGTGGAAACTCTGAAGAAGGTATGTGAAACTAGTGCTGTTGATATTAGAAGTGGTCAAGTCTAAATTTTTCATAAGTAAGTAATGTAGGGTATGCTCTTTATGTGATACCTGACAATCAGTTTTTGTTTTTCTTGCCAGTAATCTAACTTAAGTACATGTATGAATGTTATCTCCAGAACAGTAAGATACTCTTAGCATAAAGTAGCATTTGTGGATATGTAACTGCTTATAAATCACTGTTTTAGAGAGAGAGAAAGGGGGACTAAACCAAAAGACTTTAATTTGAATCAGACTTCAAACTGTGGTATGAGCAAAGTTATAAGAGGGGACTCTTTTTACTGAGAAATCCAAATTAAAATTGTTTAGCAATGATCAGTTATAGTTTGATGTCAGAGGGAAGAATGGTATCATCGTCAACTTACATCATCTACAGAGAAGCATGCTGAAGGACCAATGCAAGTATGGCCGCTGCATCTCATCCAGTGTTGTTAGAAATCCACCTAAAATTGTTGGTGCTCTGAATGCTAATAGTCACAGGCATAGTTTTATCTATCGTATTACTCAATCAGGAATGAAACCTGCTAGGTAACGACTCATTTTCCAGCAAGATATTGATCTCAAATGTGTTGGTACAATACCAGGAAGAAGGCTGATGGAACACTTGCAACAACGGCATGCATTACAAGGAGTCCTAGTATGAATATTGATAAAGTTCTATGGGCTTATGTGGAAACTGAGAAAGTAAAATAGCATCAAAACAGCTTTACTGAATTTTGAGCAAAATTACAGGACATTTGGAATAAAATTTCTTAATCAAAAAAAAAAAAAGAATAAAGAGATGCACTGCTCTGTTCAAATTAAATGCGTAATATTTTTAACATATTTACTTTTCTTTTGTACTTTCTGTAATAATGTATTTTGCAAGTTGACCATTTAGTTACAATTACTCAGGTTTTTGAACTCTTGTATGTGTATTGCCTGTTTGTTTTCTTAATTATTTCCAGGACTGTATGTTTTTGGAATTTATGATTGGTGAATATGTGAATATATTTATTGTACGCTGTCAAAATTTCCTATTGTGAAGAAACTGAGAATGTGGAAATTATTTTACTGTGTGTTTGATTTTTGTTAGTAATAAAACCAGGATTGGGCAATTGACTGGTCAGATAATTGTCATGTATTTTATTTATTATTTGTTTTGTTATCTTAACTGTATACATTGAATTTTACTTGATTTAAATTGTCTAAATTATTTGAAAAAAAAGTTCATGGTTCATCTCCAGTCTTCCAACAGCAATAAAGCCAGAAATGCATATAATATCGAATAACTTGTTTTCTGTTAATAACATGCCATTATTATATAGTTACATTGTAATGTTAAAAAATGATAGATATTACAGTATGACATAATGTAACGTTACTTGTTAGGTTTCAGAGGGTGAAGAGCATGGACCCATTAAACTCACACATTACATTTTATTAATATATATATATAGTTCTGTACTGTTTGGATCAAAGACTTTCAAAGTTTGTTGGTAAGGGTGTAAGGAGGAGGAACTTTGGGGAATAAAGATTAACAAAAGATCACCAATTAATACTCTTATATTTATGGTATTTAAAGCAACTTTTATATTGCATGACTGATTAAAAACAGGTGGTCAATTGACAGACTTGCCAGTCTTGGGTAAAACATGTTATGAAGGCTGTTTAACATAATAAAATATTCAATAAACAAAAAACGCTAAAAATTATGAAAGGCAAAAAAGGTTAAGGCAACAACAAAATAAAAAACTTAATTAACCAATTATGACAAAATGATATTTACAGCATTTATTTATTTATTACAAACTGATCTTCACAACATAAAACAGTTGAAAAACGGAAATAAAAATTATGCTTTAAGTTAAAATTGTAAATAACAGTCATATTAAATACATTCTCTTTTTTAAATATTTCATAAGACATTTTTTTGTTAATTTTCTATTGAAACTATAAGTTGAGACATCTCTACTTATCAAATCCTTTTAATTTCTAAAACTGTATCAAGCTGATTTGAAAAAAAGGAACCTTTGTAATAATATTTAAACTGGTCTGTTGATCTTTAGAAAAATTGGAAGCCACTGTTCTGTGGCACTCCTCATTTTAGAAACTTGTAATAATTATGGAACTTTAATGCCAAAGAAAGTCCCATGATGTTGACTAAAGCATAGTTAAGTGTCTAGTTTGTTCCTTATGTTATGTTTTAAAACCTCATTATCAGTTTTATTTTCTTTACTGTCATCCACAGAACATTGTTAGCAGTAAACCTGTAGCCACAAATCCTGAACTGAAAGAAGTACAGTTTGCAACCTCTCCAGTTATGTCTACATATCTAGTGGCTGTAGTGGTGGGCGAGTTTGATTATGTGGAGAAACAGTCTGGTGATGGAGTACAAGTGAGAGTATACACGCCGGTTGGGAAACAGGAGCAGGGAAGATTTGCTCTGGAAGTGGGTTTTAAACACTTATTTCTAAACTGTTTATTCGCATATTGCTTGTAGGTCAATGACCTTGTTTATTACAAGATACACATACAAGTCACACAAATATAAAGAAACGTATTATTAATTTTGCAATAAATCCCTTTAATTACTGTTGGTGTTCCCTGTGCACTTTACATAGAAACTGAATGATTTTACACAACTATTTTGGTCAGTTCGGTCACAAATTTGCAATATTCCAATCTTTGCTGGATAAATCAAAACAGATATCAAACACTCTTCAACTTTCAAGAACAATTCATATGAGATCACTTTCTTGAGTTTATATTGAAGCTATATAAAAACAAAGTCACAAATTTGCACTATTTAGCCTTCTCGCTACTTACACTGTGCACTTCTGGTGGCATCCATATACTGCATAACATTCAGTTGCTGCACTAAGTGTAAAGAGATCACTTTCTTGAGTTTATATTGAAGCTATATAAAAACAAGTATGAATTGTTCTTGAAAGTATATCTGTTTTGATTTATCCAGCAAAGATTGAATTCGTTCTCAACTTTCTTTAAGGTACTAATAATTATGGAATTTCACAAGTTATGCAATGAAACATTTTTTCACTTCTAAGCTTTTATGCATTAGACTAAGAGTTAGCTGTGTTTTAAACTAATATCATTGCATTCAATAGTGTGTAGAATATAATGGTAATAAAATATAGGAAAACTTTAATTTTACAATATATATTTTATACTTTAAACTAGGTTGCTTGCAAAGCTGTATCTTTCTACAAGCAGTACTTCAACATAGCTTACCCATTACCGAAAATGGATTTGATAGCTATATCAGAATTGTCTCCTGGTAAGATCTTTGAAAAGGAAATTGTAAAACTTATTTTAGAGTTTATATATAGTTAGAATTTTCTGACTGAAACGCAGAAGTCTTTACCAATCAGATGATCTGTCCAAGAATTTAATTTTAAATTACGTAAATATGTTAGCTTCGTAATAGATGTTATGATTATTTTAATAATTTGGTGTATTTTCTGAAGAAATGGTGTTTACTGATAACATTCAGACCTGACTCTTTTTTTTGCCATCATGACGTTCACAATTTACGCAAGTAACTTTATTATCAGTATATGTCAGCGAACTTGGCATTAAAAACATGGTTTATAATTCTTAGTTTAATAAAAGAAATATTAATTCTAAGTTTTGGTTACTGCTATTTACTAACAATTAGAAACAGAAACTGTACATAATTACAACTTAGAATCTAAAATTTGGACCTCCTACCTTCTTGATTTCCTGAGATACTAATAAGTTTTTAAACTCAGCAGAGAAGCCCCTCCTTTCTCTCTCTCTGAGAGTAGTTTCTTCTGTACATAAATCTGATAAGACTTTGTTTAGTTTTCCTGCTGTAAACCATTAACTGTATAACTGTATTTTGGTGCTTCTAACTTTTTAAACCAGTTTATAGTTTACACAGAAAGCCTGATAAGGTATGGTAGTTTTAGCTATATTGTAATATATTTTTTGTGTTTTAAGATGCATATTTGAAAGTTACATGAATTCTCTTTTATTTTTTTTTTTGGATACAAAAATCTCTGAAACTTGATGAGGATAACAAAAGAATGATTAAAATACTGAGGATTTTTCAATTACCATATATATTTTAATTTAGTTTCGAGGATGGGACAGCCAAGATGGACCAATAGGTCCTATATATAGCCCTATGTTGTCCCAAAACATTGTTATATATATGTGTGTATGTGTGTGAATTTTTTTTGTATAAATTTTTGATGTTTTGTTTGGTAAAGTGGTCTTAACAAACACATGATTTACATGCTTTAGGTGCCATGGAAAACTGGGGGTTAGTCACCTATCGTGAAACGTGTCTTCTTGTTGACCCACAGAATACCTCGGCAGACAGCAAACAACGGATTGCACTCATAGTTGGCCACGAGCTTGCTCATCAGTGGTTTGGTAATCTAGTAACCATGGTGAGGATTAATTTTTATTATTTACACTGTGGGATATTTGTAATTTTAGTTTGACATTTCAACAGATAACCATGCAGAAAAGTTATTTTAAAAAGGTTTAAATAAAATTTCGTGTTTTACAATTTATTTTCATACTTACTGTAGTGGTCTACACTGAAAAATGAAATTTAGTTGTGGAAGGTTCACCTTACTGCTGTTTTGAGGGAAATTTTTTTTTCTAAAACAGTATAAGTAGAGGGTATTGTTACATACTAAAAGTTGATAATGGCTGGAGACGGCTTGAATGGGTAATGAAGAAAAACTTTAATATAAGTTTAACATTCAAGCCGTCTCCAGCCATTATTAGTCTCAAAGTTGGTTCGTGTCGTTGAACAAGTAGGGTGTTTCAACTACAAGAAAAAGAGAAAGCACTATGTGTACAAGATATTACCATGTGACATCTCCTAAGAATAAGTCAACAGCTTAAAAAATAATGTTCCAGCTAATTTACCTGAATTTCTTTTGAATTTTTATCAGTTTTGATGTAATTGAAATAAGGTTCAAAATATATGTAACACTCTACTTGTTTCAAAAGGTCATTGAAAATTGTTGCTCTAACACGGAAAAAAATCACAAGTTACACATAGTAAACAGAGAATGCAATTTTATTTCTTTAAGTCTCATTTATCTAAAACAATCTTGATGTCTTGTGTGTATAGTCTAGTCTCTATTACATGCTTGCTGAGAAATGCTGTTAAAATATTTTACTTAAAGATGGGTTTTATATCATACATTTTTCAACTAGTTAAAACTTTTAAAAAAAATAACCTGAATGTTTTAACTAAAATTTTTAATCCTATCCAAATAGCTAGTATTTAATAAGATAAGTCTATTTGTAGGGCTGTTAAACATGTTTATAGTAACATAACACTTGAAAAATTCTTTACGTTTGTTTTAAATTAACTTCTATTTAATGTTTTATTTTTGTGAAATATTGCAGGAATGGTGGACTCATCTTTGGTTGAATGAAGGTTTTGCATCATTTATTGAGTTCCTGTGTGTCAACCACCTGTTTCCTGAATATGAAATTTGGACTCAGTTTGTGACTGATGTCTATACTCGTGCTCTGGAGCTTGATGCTTTGCACAACAGTCATCCAATTGAGGTGAGTTAGATTGGCCTAAGTAAATGGTGTTACTGCGTATGAAGACTAAGATCTGAACGTAGAACTTGGGTTTTAATCCATTCCAACCACTGGCATTATATAAAACATTTCTGTATTTGCATTCATAAAAATTACTAACTCAAATAAAAAATGTATGTGAAACACAGACACTTCAAGTGTAAAACATGATATCATTTAAATCACCAACTTACAAATTTTCTGTTGTCAGCAGATCGCATGAAATCCTTTAAAATGTAAATTGGTGTTTTGATAATTGTATAAATAAGTGTTATTTTGCAAAACATTACACTCCTGAGGATGACGCAAGATATACGTCGAAACATGTAGAGTGTATGAGATTGTTTTCCTGTCACGTTGGGGATTTAACACTTTTTAACTTTGTACAGTAAGTTATTATTTTAATAATTTGGAGACTGGAAAAAATATCATTTTATTGAATTGTGTATAAAATAATCATTGTTTTTAAATAAAACTTTTTAGTTTTCAAAATTGAACATTACACACGTGCCAAAAAAAAAAACATCTTGGAATAGATTTGTTTGTTTATGAAGAGATTGTTTTATCTGTAGGTTCCTATTGGCCGGCCATCAGAAATTGATGAGATCTTTGATGATATTTCGTACAACAAGGGGGCCTCAGTCATTAGGATGCTACATCAATTTTTAGGAGATGAGGTAGGAGCTTAGGATTCCAAATACTGTTTACCTCTTGGTTTTAGCTAGCTAAATACTAAGCGTATGAGATCAAAAGTAGATTTTGTTTTTCCAATTGTAAATAAATGTGAAATCAAAACGAGATAAAGAATTGCAAGAGATTTCTATATTCTGAGCTGAATCGGTTATGGGTGTGTTTTGCAGGTTTATATCTTCCCTTGATCTTTATTATTGTAACATTTTTTTTAATAAAAAATTGATATGCATTAGCAAATACAGTCATATAACTTTTTTTAATGGTGTGTTTATATTTTAGCCATAAGTTCTAGATCAAGGTAGATAGATCATCGAGAACAATTCATTGATAAGAATTCATTTTAAATTGAATCATAAAAAAAGTACATGACAACATTAAATTTTGAAAAATTCTGTCTTTTGCATGATCTTCTCCACTCCTGCAAAATAACTATAAAAAATGTATATAGATTTTATTAACATTTCTTTTTATTAAGTAATTAACAAAAAGTACAAATTGCTAACCCTAATTACATCTTGTACTCCCTGCGATATTTTTTAGTTGGGAAGTAGAAATATTTAAAACTTTCACCATATGGAATATACCTGCTAATCTGTCATTTTTTATACATTTGTTAATTATTTTGTACTTAAATAATTTAAAAATGGTGTCTTTTTATGTAGGTGCTATCAAACAATTTTAAAATTTAAAAAACTGGATTTTGTTTCTAACATTTTTTGTTTCAGGTTTAAAATGAATAAAATTATTAAAAATCTGGTTCATGATCAATCTTGTAATCATCATACTATGTGATGACTGATTTACTTGGCAGAACACTTGGAGACAAATAAAATTATTAAAAATCTGGTTCATGATCAATCTTGTAATCATCATACTATGTGATGACTGATTTACTTGGCAGAACACTTGGAGACAAATAAAATTATTGTGACCAATTATTGCATAAATTTGTCTATTTAAGTTTACTTGTAAACTCTGGTACTTCTTTAGGTTTTTAGTAAAGGGATGAACACGTACCTCACAAGACACATGTACAAAAATGCTCAAACTGAAGACCTGTGGCAGGCTTTAGAAGATGTTAGTCAAAAGCCAGTTGGTGCCATTATGAGCTCATGGACAAAACAGAAAGGTTTTCCCGTGATATCGGTATGTTTTACCAGAAAGAGAATTAATTTTTTCACCAGTAAAACCAAATATTTTTAGTAACTGCTTCATTTCTCTACAGTATTATTTTCTTTAGGACCTGTACACTAAAGATGTGTTATTGATACCCTAATGCAAAAACTAGGACAGGAAATATGAGATTGTAATATCAATATTGTATTAACTTATTGCAGAAAAAAAAAGCTTAATTGAAACTGTTGTATGAGGTATTTAATTTGTACATGTGTGCCTCTTTAATTGTAGGTTAATGAAAATTGTTATTATAGCCCAGAGTTTGCTGTTTTTTTGTTGTTTTTTTTCTTCTTTAAATCAAACTGTTGTGAAAACTAAAATGAAGCTGATATACTTAAAAATATTGGTTTTATAGGTGTCATGCAGGCAAGATGGAAAAAATAAGATTCTTTTTTTGAGTCAAGAAAAGTTCTGTGCTGATGGAAATGCTGAGGGTAATAATTCTTCTCTTTGTGCATGACATATTTGAATATTTATTGATATCTCTCATTGTTAGAAATGTGTTATTTAATGTATCCATACTACATTGAAACTTGTACATATGTACATGACAAAAAGAACTTGAATCGTAGAAACCAGTACCTATCATAATTTCATAGAACTATTAATTATGTGCAAATATGTATGTAGTGTATTAGCTAATTGTTAAGACATTCTAACCTAAATGACTTGCCTCTTTTATCTTTGTCTCTGACAGAGTATATAATTGTGTTGTTGTTTTTATTTAGAAATTAAGAGCTTTCATGATGTTTAATAATGGCTGGAGATGGCTTGAATGGGTAACGAAGCAAAACTTTAATATAAGTTTAACATAACAGCAAGTGTACAATGTTTCGACAAGGTTTTGTCATCATCAGGTACAAGGTGTTAAACTTATATTAAAGTTTTGCTTCATTACCCATTCAAGCCATCTCCAGCCATTATTAGTCTCAAAGTGGGTTCCTCTTCATCGAATTTCCTACTGTTTCTCCTAGGGGATAACCTGAGATGGCTTGTACCCATTAACATTACAACAGCGAGGTCACCACAACAGATAGTGAAGCAGGTACTACTAGAAGCTTCATCTATGGAAGTTCTGATTGAGAATGTAGAACCCAACGAGTGGGTCAAGGTAAAAGTTTATTTCATTAACTTTACAAGGTGATTATTTGGTACTGTTCTAATGTTGTGTAGATTACATTTTGTAATATTCTTAAAATTGTAAAAAATTACCGTAGAAGTATAATTTTGTAATGGAAAATAATTACTTAATTTTGTCAATTCTTGCAGTCCAGCAAATTAAATAAAGAATATTTTAGTTAGTAAGCATGTTAGACATGTATATATGATCACACCAATACTTTATAGGCTTACTTTGAATGGTTTTGTATGTAATGATATGATAAAATATTAAAAGAAGATTTAAATTTTTGACTTAAATAAAATAAGTTACAAAGAACAAACAACCTTAAGAAGTTCTTGGGAAGGAGAATTTTCTTTTGTTTCTGTTATATTTAAAAGAATGCTTCTGAAACACATTAATTCTTCTTGGGTGCACCACCAACAAGAAACTAAATCATATTATATGTAAACATCTGAATAGGACCAGATATAACCCTAATAAACTCTTGTCCTTCAAGTTTATAATCTAGATGTTTCTAAACTCTTATGAAGTTCAAAACAAATGTTGCACAAAAACGTAATCATCATTTTCATTAACGTAGTTTTACTGGAACTTGTTGTAAATAGATTTTTCTAACAAGTAAATACTTTATTATTAATTCACTAAATACAAGCTAAAATTAAATACAATACTTCAAAACCAATAGCATTTGAAGAACAGAAAAACCTGGAACACATTATCATTGGGCACCATTTGTTTTTTCTATTATGGTTTCTGTTAAATTCTATGATACATTTTATGTATATATATATGCTTTATCCTATTCTGGGTACATTTAATACAAAGTGAATGTATACAGGTAGTGTAGAATCTGGATAGAGGAACCTTTTTTTGTGTATACTTTTGCTTTTTCAAACACAGGTTTTCGAGATGTACATGAGGCATGTAATGTTAACCTTTACTCTTACAGATAAACCCTGGAACTGTGGGTTACTATCGCACTCTGTACACACCAGACATTCTTGCTCAGCTTCAGCCTGCTGTTGAAGATCAAACTCTGCCTCCATTAGACAGACTTGGATTGCAAAATGATTTTTTTGCCTTGGTTTGTTGATTTGCCAATTTTATTCTAGACCATTAAATATTTTAAAAAATTATTTTAAAATTCACACAAGTAACTCTGTAATTCTAGACCAGTTTAAACTCCTTGTACAGCTTTTTCCCCTTGTAAATTATTAAAAATGTTAATTAATTCAGGATTATGTTGTTTCTGTTTATAAATTATAAGGCCATTTAGTGGAAAAAAGTTTCTGTGAAAGGATCATAATAGAACATGAAGTTACTTTATTAGTTAATTCAAATATACTTCACTAAGGGAGAAAGAAGTTAAAATCATAATCCACTTCAAACATAAAATTAATAGCAAAAAACAACGAATAAAGTCAAATTTATACAACAGAAGTTGATTGAAAGTAGAAAATTTGTTCACTTTTAATTGACGTTTTTATACTTGTATTATATATATATGTCTTTGTAAAAAATAAGATTTAAGTATACAAATTTGTGTAAGATAATTGAAGCTAGTTTTTTCCTAAAAAGGATGATTATTTAATTAAAAATTTATAAATTATGAGGTACTTTATAAAAGTGTATTTTTTATGATTGTTGTAATAAACTGTATATTATTATTTGATAAAGCATGAGAAGGTGTTTATAATGTGTTCTGTTTATACAGCTAGGAAGAAGTGGACCTTGGAGAGTAGCAATAAATAATAGTGTTTGTGTTTGTTTGATATCACCAAGCTATCAGTAGTATTACATTCATATCACTTAAGAATCAAATCAAAATCTTTTCATTGTTGTAACATTTTTTCTTTATAATTTTTATGGGGTGTTGTAGAGGATGCAATTCTGCTATTGTCTAAAACATTGCTATCGGACAACTAAGCTACTGTAGTTACAAAGACTCCTATTGTATCTTAAATTTTGTATTGCAATTAATTTTTGGTGGAATATCAAAAAAAAAGTATTTATGTGTGTATATATATATATATATATATATATATGTAAATAGTAGTACATCAGATCTTGTCCCCAGATTTTTAGAAATAAATTGTTTAACATGATATTCTAAACTGTAAGTACTTGAAAGATAATTGGGATTGGCCATTTATAATTTAAGGTGTTCTTTTGTTAGACTTTACTTTGATATTTGTGGAATAAACTTTTTGCACAGGTTCAAGCAGGACGTGCATCAACAACTGAAGTATTGAAACTTATGGAGGCTTTTATCAGTGAAACCAGCTATACCGTTTGGTGTTCCATTAATGCTTGCTTGGCCAAGTTAAACATGCTACTATCCCACACAGATTTTCATCCTCTGTTTACAACTTATGGCCAACAGCTGCTTGCCAAAATTCATGCAAAACTTGGCTGGGAACCTATAAAAGGAGAACGTAAGGATTGTAGTTTCAAACGAACAAATTTTTTTAATTTATTTAGTTTTAAGTTTGTTAAATATGTGGTTTAAGATGGGATTATTTCATTGTTATCATCATGTAAGAAAACAGTATGATTTGTTTATGAAATGTGACATCTTTATGGCTAAAACATAAATCATCAAATTTTTAACTACTCTTTCACTTGTTAATACGTATCACTTTCATGAAATTTCAACAATTTTTTTTGCACAACTAGATCACTTGGACACTTTGTTACGGAGCTTAGTAATTGGACGACTCGCTGCTTTTGATGAAGAATCTGTTGTGAATGAAGCTAAGAAAAGATTTGAAGCACATGCTAATGGAACCAGTATTCTACCTGCAGATTTAAGAAGTGCTGTAAGCAGTTATTATGTTTAATAAACATGTGAAAAAGATTATTCAAGCAGTCTTGAATTAGATTTCTTTTGGACATGTTTTGTGCTTGGTAACCAATCTTTACTACAAATACTTAATTAAAAATTCAGATTTTTGTTTACAAAAGACTTGTAATGCTTTCTGAAAGGTTGTCAAATTTTGTGAAGATACACTTACTACATTAAAAGTTACAGTAACCATGAAACTATTCATACATGGTGGTTTCAAGGTTGGTCATAATGACCTAGTCCTTATAGAAAAGGTTAAAGTTTCCACCTTATTAGGTTATTAAATCTTGATTGAGTACATTTTGTTAGTATTATAACTATGATATAGTAAAAAAACCAATATTTCATGCAGAAATATAATACTAACTCAAAAATGAAAACTTCCAGTCACAAGTATTTTTACTAATGATTTCTGTGTGAAATATCATCAAATAAGGCAGCTGTATGTAAATTCTTCACTGTGGAGGTGTTTTGTACAAAAATAATTCAGACATATAATATTTATATGACCTTTTATGTCAGAGTTTAAGAAAATCTTATGTAAAGTATTTATATTAAGCTGTGTATTTTGTTTGAAAGCTAAGAATATTCATCATTTTAACTACACTTGATAATACCAGTATCTTCAATAATTATAATAATCATAGAATCAAGTTAATTAAAATTAATAATAATGATATGTATAGTTTGTAATAACTAGACGTTTCTCTGTTTAAGGTTTACAGGGCAGCAGCGAGAAACGGTGATGACTGAACATTTGAAACTATGTTGAAAGTGAGTAGTAAATCCTGTTCATAAACATTATCAAGGATAGCAGTGAGAAACAGTGATGACCGAACATTTGAAACTATGTTGTAGGTGAGTAGTAAATCCTGTTCATAAACATTATCGATGGTAGCAGTGAGAAACAGTGATGACCGAACATTTGAAACTATGTTGTAGGTGAGTAGTAAATCCTGTTCATAAATATTATTGATGATAGCAGTGAGAAACAGTGATGACTGGACATTTGAAACTATGTTGAAGGTGAGTAGTAAATCCTGTTCATAAACATTATCGATGATAGCAGTGAGAAACAGTGATGACCGAACATTTGAAACTATGTTGTAGGTGAGTAGTAAATCCTGTTCATAAACATTATCGATGATAGCAGTGAGAAATGGTTATGGCTAAACTTTTGAGACTTTTTAAACTGGGTATTGTAAACAGGTTTAAGCATATACAAAAAATATTTTGTTCTTTGTATGGGAAACTACATTTCATTTTATTAATGTTATATCTGATAATATGTAGAAAATACAAATGTATATTTTAACTTGAGTTTTCTTCAGTAAAGCTTGAAAATAGTAACAACATTGTTACATAAGCTAATTTTAAAGTGTGATAATTTTTATAAATGTGATAAATTCAGTAAGATTATATGTATTTTGTTTAATATTCTACTTGGAGTTTTAATTTTTTAATTTTCATGTATATATAACCACAGTTTATTTTTATATTTCTGATGTATTGAATTGCTAAGCATAGAAATTTAGAGGAAAGGAACCAAAGTTAAATTGTTGTTTATAAATGAATATTTTGTATATGTGGACTAAATATCTCTCTGACCATACTAGTAGATAAATACGGGTATTGTTTCATAGAGTTCTTGCTTACAAAAACATTTCTCTACAATATCTACAATAACTGTTTCTTACAATTTGTGATGTTGTGTTGAATTCATTTGTTACAGTGAACAGACTAAGCAAAAACTTTACATAACTTGATTCTCTTCCTCCTTTTTTGTGACTTATTCAAGTAATTAACATACTTAAATGTCTATTATAAATATTAAGAACTAAATTATTCCTTTTTGTATTGTTACATTACAAAAACTGAAATTATTAGGTATAGAATTAAAATGTATTAAATTGTTTAACCCAAACATGAAAGAAATTTTCAATATGGTAAATACACCAAATATACAGCTAGCTATATCATCAGTAGTTTAAGTTGCAATAAATTTCTTTATATCATTTTCTTTTTTTATGAAATGGATCAGTTGAATTCTCTGACGTATTTCAAATATAACTTGTTTAGTTTTAAAACATAACTTGTTTACATGTTTGACGTTTTCACCAGTTATACAGAGAAGCAGATTTGCACGAAGAGAAAGACCGAATATCAAGAGCCCTTGGAGCAGTACAGGATGAAGCAAGTATCAGAAGAGTTCTGGAGTTTGCTATTTCTGTAGGTTCTTGTTCTCTTAATTTTAATCTGTCCTTATTTGGTACGTAGAGTAAAACTGCAAGATTTTAATAAATGTTTGGTAATAGTTCTTTAACTGTTTTTAACAGTTATGATGAATGTAACCATCACAAATCACCACAGCCAACTGTATTTGTAATGCTGGTGTTACATGCTTTCTCTTGATGTATCAGTTTTCATAGTGAATGTTTAAAGTCATCAGAAGTGTACTTTGTAGAAAATTATTTTATTTGTTAAATTTGGTTTAATAATTGTATAAGATGGGGCATCAAAAACATACTTTGATGTTGCTATCTTTTTTTTATATGGTTCTAGAAAATCAAAAAAGCACAGTTTTCTGTAAATTTTATTCTAGAAGTGCCTGTAACAGCACTCTCAACAAATTAGAGAAGTGAGTTAACTGTAGAAGTGCCAGTACACAGCACTCTCAACAAGTTAGTGAAGTGAGTTAACTCTAGAAGTGCCAGTACACAGCACTCTCAACAAGGTTAGTGAAGTGACAAGCTTTCAGTGTCATTTACCTGATCTTATTTACTTTACCCAAATGTGAAGCTTGTCAAATCTATATATAGTACTTCTTCGGGTGTAAATTATCTCTGCCTGTTACATTACATTCTTTTCTGAAGATGGATAACAATAAAATACTTTTTGTTTCTCATATATTTACTGCAAACTATTGGAATTATTTCACAAGTACTCACAAGTAGTTGTTATATTTTAATAATTTGTTTTTACTGTTGTGTAATAGGTTATCATGTTAAATCCAATCTCTCCAGAAATGAGCAGCTAACTTCAATGAAATAAAAAGGAAAGAACTACCATATAATTGTGAAAGTGAGTGATAAGTGTAAAGGCGTTGTTTTAATAAATACATCCACTTATCTTGAAAAAATTAAGGTAACTTCTGTTGATATGTGTAGTTAGTAACCAATAACCATCTCATTAAAAAAAACCTTGAACTATATGGTTTACCTAAAGATCATAAATCTGGAACAACTCTAAACTCCCCGGTCTCCAAAGCTAACTCTATTATAGCTTCTGTATCTTGACTACTCAAAAAGCTAATTCACCCTCTTAAAAAAAAAATCCCTTTACACTTCAGTAGCACCGACGACGTTCTCAACAGACTACACAAATATATGTTACAGATTGGTTTGAACAATATCCTGTTTACTCTTGATTTCATCTTTATGTAACCCTTCGTTCTCGTCAAAAACAATTTTAAGCTCGTTACAAAGCTTGTTGGGTCTAATCCTCCATTTGTTACTACCAGTGAATTATGAAGCTTGTTGGATCTGTTTATTACAACCAGTGAATTATGAAGCTTGTTGGATCTACTTATTATTACCAGTGGATTATGAATCTTGTTGGATCCGTTTATTACTACCAGTGGATTATGAAGCTTGTTGGATCCATTTATTATTACCAGTGAATTATGAAGTAATAAACATATCCAACAAGCTTCATAATTCACTGGTAATAATAAATGGATCCAACAAGCTTCATAATTCACTGGTAGTAATAAACGGATCCAACAAGAAACCAGTGAATTATGAAGCTTGTTGGATCTACTTATTATTACCAGTGGATTATGAATCTTGTTGGATCCGTTTATTACTACCAGTGAATTATGAAGCTTGTTGGATCCATTTATTATTACCAGTGAATTATGAATCCTGTTGGATCTGTTTATTACTACCAGTGAATTATGAATCTTGTTGGATCCATTTATTATTTCCAGTGAATTATGAAGCTTGTTGGATCTGTTTATTACTACTAGTGAATTATGAAGCTTGTTGGATCTGTTTATTATTACTAGTGAATTATGAAGCTTGTTGGATCTGTTTATTATTACCAGTGAATTATGAAGCTTGTTGGATCTGTTTATTATTACCAGTGAATTATGAAGCTTGTTGGATCTGTTTATTACTACCAGTGGATTATGAAGCTTGTTGGATCTGTTTATTACTACCAGTGAAACTCCTATAGATCTTATTTAACATTTTCTCACCTTTATTCATAATAACAGTAACATTAAATTCAATTTAACCACGTGTATAAACAAACCAAACATTATGGACAACAATATTGCTGTTGTTTTGACATCTATATTTATGGATTTCTTTGAATCATCAGCTTTTATTTAGCTGAATTTTGAAACCAATCTGGAAATAGATAGGTGGTACAAATATATTTATAACATTTTAAGCACATGGAATCATTGACTTCCGTTTCTATTGGAATTCTTTAATAATCAACACTTTGACATAAAACTCACACTTTCATGTACTGATAATATCCAGCAGTCTTAGAATATATGGTAGTGACAAGTTTGCTGTTTTTAATAGTAACCATGCTACCAAGAAAGGGTTAAATGGATGGTCTAGATTTTAGAATATATGGTAGTGACAAGTTTGCTGTTTTTAATAGTAACCATGCTACCAAGAAAGGGAAAATCTAGACCATCCAGTCTTCCCTTTCTTGGTAGCATGGTTACTATTAAAAACAGCAAACTTGTCACTACCATATATTCTAAAATCTAGACCATCCATTTAACCCTTTATTCTACAATGTGACTCACTCCATCCACTAGCTACTAAACAGGGAGTCATTACTGGTCAACTTAAGAGAACTGAAAAAGTATGTAACACCATTGATGATAAGATACAAGCCACAAGGAATTTCCATAATTTCTGTTGTCTAATGGATATCCATATATTTACATTAGGCAGATTTTGTTAAACAAGACCGATGTCTGTAGGTTTACTTTCTTCTTAGAATTCTTCTCAAGAAGTCGATAAGCTAGATACCACCACCTGCTTACCCATACCTATAAATATCCACCAACAGTAATCACAATTCACACAATCTTAACGTTGTTAGAACAACGGGTAAAAGTTGTAGCTAGTGATGAGTTGGCCGACGCGTTTCGAATGCGTTCTGCATCCATTATCAAGGCTGAATGCAAGAAGTCGATAAGCCGAAGAAGAATTCTAAGAAGAAAGTAAACCTACAGACATCAGTCTTGTTTAACAAAATCTATACACATCTATGAACAAAACCTACACTAAGCCTTCTCCTATACTAGATGACATATATATCTATACACATCTATGAACAAAACCTACACTAAGCTGTCTCCTATACCAGATGACATATATATCTATACACATCTATAAACAAAACCTACACTAAGCCTGTCTCCTATACTAAATGACATATATATCTATACACATCTATAAACAAAACCTACACTAAGCCGTCTCCTATACTAGATGACATATATATCTATACACATCTATAACAAAACCTACACTAAGCCTTCTCCTATACTAAATGACATATATATATCTATACACATCTATAAACAAAACCTAAACTAAGCTGTCTCCTATACTAGATGACATATATATCTATACACATCTATGAACAAAACCTACACTAAGCCTTCTCCTATACTAAATGACATATATATCTATACACATCTATAAACAAAACCTATACTAAGCTGTCTCCTATACTAAATGACATATATATCTATACACATCTAGTAAACTAAACCTTCACTAAGCCGTCTCCTATACTAAATGACAGATATATCTATACACATCTATAAACAAAACCTACACTAAGC